CAGTCCTAACCCCCCAAACCTCCCCCGCGGGGGGCCTTTTCCTGTGCCCCTGGCCCGCCCCGTCCAAGTCGGGAGCCATGAACGACCAGTACCACCGGGCGGCCCGGGACGGCTACCTGGAGCTCCTCAAGGAGGCCACGCGGAAGGAGCTGAACGCCCCCGACGAGGATGGCATGACCCCCACCCTCTGGGCTGCTTACCATGGCAACCTGGAGTCGCTGCGCCTCATCGTGAGCCGGGGGTGAGTATCCAGCCCCAGCCCCGCAGGGGAGGGGGAAGGGATCGCGGCGCTCTCCCGCCCCCGGAGACCCTCCCCCAGATTCCAGACCCTCTCCCCTGAGCCACTCCCTGCCCTGGCGGCGGGCCCTAAGGTGGGAACTCGGGGCCCGGCCGTCCTGGGAGGGAGGGGGCGCAAGCTGCGGGGTGTGACACTTGTGACCTGGATATGGGGCTAGCAGAGGAGGACTGGGATTTGGGGGCTCATGATTGTGGGAGGAGCTGCAGAGAGAGGGGGAGGTGGGAGGGTGGGAGAGGTCTCCTGCGTGGGTGGCACCTTGAAGCAAGGGTGAGAGGCACAGTGGGAACGGAGAGAAGGTGCAGAAGCCTCAGAGGGGTCAGAGCCCGGCTAGGAAAGGAGGGGCTCCTCACTGCCCACCCCCAGGCTGGGATCCAAAGGGCTCTCCCAGCATTGCCCCCCACCCCCAGGCTGGGGCTCACACTCTCTCTCCCTGCTCATTGCTGGGATCTATGGGCATTGTCTACAGTGCCAAATGTCACGGGGTTCAGCCACCCCACAACTCCCTCTGTGCCCCTCCCCCACCAAAGGCTCCCTCACCCCCCCCTTTGGAGTTGTCTAGGGGGAGGGGTGGGCATAGAACCCAGGTGTCATAGCCAGGGATGGAGGTAGCATTTGAGGAATGCAGGGTCCAGGGACACTGAAGGGGGCTCCTGGGTCTGAATGACATTGTGGACAACTCCCCTGCCCCCAGCAGATTTATAAAGAGAAGTCAGGTTGACTGGACACCAGGGCAGCCTGGACAGAGAAAAAGAGTGGAAGAGATGCCTCAGGAGGGTCAACGTTGTACACCTCAGGCCCTGGGCAATCCTGGTGGAGGGCCAGGGGCCCAGCTGGCCCTGGTGCCAGGTGCTGGCCTGTGGCCTGTGGTGGGTGGGGAAACCCCCCTTGCCCTCCCTTGGTAGCTGTTCCTGGGGCCCAGCAGGTGGGGGCAGCCCTAAGACCAGGCAGCTGAACCATGTTCCAAGAGGCCAAGACTGGCCCCTCTCCACACCAAGAGGGCACACAGTGATTCTGCCCTCCTGTCCCCTCCCTCAGAGAGAGACTCAACCTCCCTAACCCCCCCAACTCCCGCAGAGGGCAAGGGTTGGCGTTCAGGTGTGGACACCAGATGCCAAGCAGCCCCTCCCACATTGCCCTCCAGGACTTGGCAACTTGTAGGGGAAGTGAGGAGGGGGTTGTTCAGGGAGCGGTAATGACAAAGGGGTGATTCTTTCTCTGTCCCTGAGGGGTGGCCTTGTGGCCTCATTAGCATGAGGCAGAGACTCTGAGCTAGGCCTCCCCCCCCCCAGGGAGGGGAGAGCTTGGAGGAGCCCAGTGGGGAACCTGCCCTAGGAGAACACAGCCTGATGTGGAGGGGGCTGTGTGGGTCCCCTGGACAGGTCCAAGCCAGCCTGCCTCACAGGGCTCCTAAAGATGGGGCAGCAGGGGCGGAGAGGGTGGCTGGGCCCAGGCTGCAAACTTCCCTCCTCCTCTCCTCTAGTCCTGGCTGCCCCCACGCTCCCCTTCTGGCCCAGGCCAAGACCCGACACCTGCTCTCACACTCGGGCTTGCCAGGCCTGGCCCTGCTCCCTGCAGACATGGCCGTGCCCGCGGCCACGCAGGCACGCACCCTCCCGCACTCCCCCAG